TCCAACTGACCTGGCACATCAAGAAAAATTCCAAGGTGACATTTTCCATTGATTGTGATATATGTTGAAACCATTCACGTCAACTAGCAGCACTTCCTAGCTAGATTGGAGCGAGGTAAATACTGAACAACCATTTCACTGAATCGTCTATCAGTGGTGTATGTGGCTTAACTGTATTAAGGCGAACGAACAAATTTAAAACATCTAAATCCTGGACAGCAAGCAATACCGACAGAAGTGAGTCATTTCAAATCACGTGGTCGATATAGAGAATTTCAGGACGACTAACGGCTATGACGGTTACTAATCGATAAGAACGTAGCCTTATCGTCATAACTCACTTAACGGATTCACTCAAATACCGAATTATTTGCTTGCGTACACCCGATTTACGACTGTATGTAATCGAAGCAACTGCAAAAAGGGTATATACTAACTACTTTTTCAATGACCATTAGTTTCATACGCACTTCAGTCGAAAAATGCAATGCGAATGTCGAATGTATCTATGTCAACAAGTCTCATGCTATTGTACTGATTTCGGCAGCCGTTATTGAAATAAAGAGTAGAAAGAAGTATTTATGAAAAATTATTGTTCCGTGTTATTTTTTATAGAATTCTCAGTGGCACAAAGCTTATGGTATCACTCAGCATCTCACCTAACACTAAGCTAGTTGCATAAACAATCAAGATTTATACACTAAAGAGGGACAACAACCTAAAGACTAATAAACTTTATATGATTCAATCTAATGCTCTTAGAAAACAAAATAATTTTATTTAATAAAATGACACAAGTAAACACCAACACTTGGAGGATAAATGAAAAATGACTGTCTTTGGGAAAGACACAACTACACACAGTTCCAACTGCAATGGAAGTGATATGCACAAATTTTGTGCATATCTGTCTGTGCAAAGTTCTATGTCGAAAACAGACAGACAAACAGATATGCACAAAATTAGAAAGAAGTTTCTCTACAATGACATTCTAACACTATTTAAAAACTGTTGAATAGTTCACTGTGAAAGAAACAAACACTTTATGCTCAGGCGTAGAACTACCTGTGAAAGATTCACAAAGTTAACTGGTTCATCATCATACGAAGTTAGGAACTAAATATATATGAAAAGGTGAACAGAATATTATTGAAGTTAAATAAGTATTCGGGAATACATAACAAATGATTAATTGATGATCAGTGAAAACAATGGGTGAAAATATAATGAGGGAATAAAACGCAAATTAGATGTTCAAATACAAGTGAATGACAAAAAGGATAAGAGAAACACAAAATCACACAATGAATAAATAACCTGTTTAATGGTGCATAACTAGCACCTTGTGTTTTGTGAATCAAATGTACTTGACGCACGTTTTGAATTATCTAAAATAAAAAGAGTGAAAATAGAATGTTTTCATCGCTACAATAAAAATCAAATATGATTTGTGCAGTCTAGTGGGGAAAATAATTCCTGTTAACTAACTAACTAACCATTTTAGACGGTATTTTATACAGTACATATTTTTAACGTGAAGAATATGTCAAACTGGTCCGATTTAGCCTATTACGACTAAAGTATCTCTTAACAGATATTTAGGAATATCACTACCTTGTTAATGAGTTGTAGCATATAAGACCATACACACTGTTTGTTTCTGAATCAAGTTGTACTATTGCATCCCACTTTAGTTTAATCATTACGGTGAAAACATAAACGTGTATTTGCAAATAGTTAGCGAAAAGAATTACCAATAAAATCGTGAGAAACATGTGCACGTTTCAGCAAATTATAAAACATAAGAATGATGTCATTCACAAATGACAGGCTGTTATTCTAAACTTATACAGCAGCTATTGCAATACAGCCAGTTATGTGAACGAATCGGATTTTATTTAACCATGTACTCCTGCAATGCATCGTAAGGGAAAAAATAAATGACCACTGGTGAAGACTTTAGTGTCTTAGAATGAGAAAAACGATTAAATTCAGTTCTTTAAGCTTTTATATCTGATAATTGATACTTTACACAACAACATAGTGAAGCCATCATGTTGAAATATAAAACTTAGAAAACATTGAACAAAAGTCAAAGAAATCTGCTATTGTAAGGTAGATAAAAAGGTATAGTATAGAAATGCTAATACCAATCACAAATATGATAACTGCAGTTTTAAAAAATCGGTCCCAGTTGTCATTTGGACTACAGTGGTCGAATGTACGCAAATCGCACAGTCAAGTTTCACATATTAAGGGTCCTATCACGAGTGGTGAGTAGGCACGCGTAAAACATATTCCAACCACATACGTGAGGGAAGATTAACAACTTCATCATCAGCTTTACATTATCTAAATACTTTACACTTAAATAACTATTTCATCATATGATGATGTTACGTAGGCAATGAATTCCAATCACCTGATGTGAAAACGTTAAACAATCATCCGAGTAGTTAAAACACGTCATTGAGTTGCACACCTGACCTATGAAAACATTAGAATATACTAACTACGCATTAGCGCAAATGGAAACACTTCTCTTTCGAAGCAACAGTTTCAGTGAATTTGAAGTGAACTTTCAAAATTATCTATGAGTTTACTAGCCACATTGAACGTGACTGGTTGTTAATGGGTACTTTCTAACCCCACAGTTTCGCATGCCTAGACTCATTATCACAGAATACCTAAATTTGATTTCAAAACTTCGCAACTTAACCATACCGCACAGAGAACAAAACTACACTGATATCATCTACTTGAGCTTCAAATGCTCTATATCATCCTTAAATCTTACGTCAGGAAAACGCTTTTTTCTCTTCAAAAATGAGGTGATTTCGACCAAACACAGGTAAACATCAGAGAACTAATTTAAAGAATTTATAATTCCACTGAATGACGAGGAATATATATATATATATATATGGTTTTCAAGAAATTATATCCAGTGAGGGATACTATTATTATATGTATTAACACTCATGATTCAATTCTCTCACCGGATATAATCTCTTGAAAACCATATATATACTATTGTACAGCTTGTTAATAACTTCGTTGAAAATAGTCTCATCGCTGAATCACTTGTTTTCATTTTCATATGTTACAATGGAATTTTTGATGAATTAAAAAAAGACAACGACAAAAGGATGTCAACCATGAATTAATCAAAACTAAACAACAACAACAAATTGATAGTGCAGTGCACCGATTGATCACGCAGTCAATTTGATAAAACAACCACTGTCAAAAGTGGAGCAAAAACACCATAAAGAATTGAACTACAATACCGGTGATGCCTCAGAAACGGATGTCTCCGCTACTCTACCATCATTACTCAAACCACCAAAGCAAGATGAAGTAATGAGAGATATGCCAAACTATCGTACCTACGGTCAGGTAGAAAAACGATTAAACACAACTCGATTTTCAAAAACGATAAGCCTCTATAACGCTGGAAAATAGAAAAAAACATCGTCATACTATCATCAGACAAGTGGGAGACATAGTACTTATGGACAAAGGAGAATACATTAAGAAAGCTGAAGACTTGCTCAAACATAAAGATGTATACCAACAGTTCACGACGAAATCTATCCAAACATTAGACAACCCAATACGAAGAACCCTACACAATACTTAAATATTTGACAGTATCCTACGATCACTGGATCAAATGTCCAACTCAACTTCTAGAGAAAACCAAGGACATTGAAGATGACACATAAATAATAGTGTCGTTCGATGTCACAGAATTTTGCATGTCGACTGGACAACTAGCAGACGAAATCACTCAATAATTAATTTAGCAATGATGGAAATCCACCTCAACACTCAAAGATACAAGTTGGATAAAACGCATAAATTTATGTGTAATAACATTTTCAATTCAATTTTCGAAGACAAGAACAGATAATGGAGTTACCTATGGGACGGCTCACATAAGAACGGATTGGTGAAGCTGTTATGCAAAGGCTTGAAACAATAATTCTACCAAAAATCAAACCCGAAATTTGAGTAATTTACGTGAATAACACGTTCGTGATAATCAGAAGGAACGATTTAGAACACAACAGCTTCGACGATTTCAAATTTACGAGGGAAGAGGAATCCGAGAACAAAATTTCATGTCTCGGTCAAGCGAAAAAAGCAAATGAAAATTAGAAACTCAATTATAAATCAAATGCTCAATTACAACAGCCCACACAGAAGGCGTTGCATACAAACATGATTCACAAGAAGCAGAACACACTGAAACACTGCTGCCCTGAGGAGATCAGGAGAGAAATACCTAATAGTTGTACTACGCCAACCAGAAGACGTAACAGAGAAAGGAAACAAAAATCAACTCCATCTACCAGATGAATGGCAACGTTGTGAGGATCATTATATTGGGCGAAGTGAAAAGTCTTCGACTTCGCATCCAAGAATGTAAATTACCCATTAAAAGACATGATATATATTTCCTCATGCCAATGCATGCAGACAAATACAAACATCAATTCGATTGCAAAATGTACAAATCCTAGACAAAATAAATGCTAAAAATGACAGAGAATTTCTAGAAGTTGGGTACTAATGACATATTAAATCAACAGGCACATTGGTATAGATACGACTTAACAATCAAAGAAGTCATATGGACAAAACGTGAACTTCCAGGTCAACGAAATAATTCATACTAATACAAGCAGAATAGAGATAAGGAAAATACCCAGAGACACCAGATCACTTTCAAGGTGGTCGAAAGAGATGGTTGACAACTAGTGGAGAATTTCGGAAGCTCACTTCAAATTGAAGCGCTAAAGACGTTGTCTAGACAGACAATGAAAGCTCCGCAACTGAACCATTCAGTTCAGAGAACACAGCTACACCAACAGACCTTCTAGCCACTGATAAGTTTGAAAAAGGAGAAACTCAAGATTTCAGATCATTCGTCACTGAGTTAACTTACGATGAAACATAAAGAAATCACGCAGTGGGAATGAATGCACTTCATATTAGTTTCCTGTATAACTACTTGATCCAAGCCGAGACACAATAGTGATAAGCCCATAAATCATACGTGAAACGAATGCCGGACATTTTGAATGGTAGGCGACATTTTGCAATGCAATGCGTAATTCCAAAAACGCGTTGCTATAAGAATAAAGCAAAGTAAACGAAATATTGAACAGTGAAATTATGAACACCAATTTTATTTTTCTATTAAAACAAATATGAATTAAGCCATACAGAACCCAACGATACAGTGGACATTAACAGTCGATGTACGCCACTGGACTATAATAAATATGTTTAAGACTTTTATTCTTGTACACCACGACTGGTTAATCTGACACCGCCTACCAACCACTGAGTATTTCTCAAAACTTAGTAGGCGTTTCAAAACCACATGGGAGTTTGTTCTCTTGGAGCAAACAATAAAATCTTTATATTTTTTACAGAAGAGTGACAGATGTAAATGTCTAGTCTCAGGTTTTGATTCATTTCTGCTGATTGCGTTTGAAACACGATTATTGAACCAAATGAACTTTAATTGAAATATACTGTGGTAAGGTATTGGAGCCAGTCGACATAAATCTTCGAACTTTTTGATACTTACCAACAAGACGCATCTGCCAACTTGAGGAACAAGTGTCCTTTCCAAATTTCAACATCTCTCATGAATCCCAGGATTTTTTTCGTCAAACAACTGTAGTACTGAAATGTGTATCAGATGTGCATTCTTGATAACAAGCACAAAATCCAAATCCACAATATTCCTGACAGCTAAACAACAATGTTCAAGGTCAGAATACCAAATGTTTTAATGCAGAGGAGGAAGTGTTCGTTAATGACCAGACTAACATTTATCAACTTAGGCCATATGAATTATGTATGTCATTAAAATTTAACACATGCAACAAAAAGTGACACTTAGTAGGGAAGTGTAGATTGTTTGCATAGGATCCACTTAGTTATGGAATCGATGACTACAGTTGATGTAACTTAAAACCAACGAATTGAGTTCATGCTCTATCTTACTATGGATTATATTCTTTTATATTATTGTCATTTCCTTTTTCTTACAGAACTTTATGACTTTTGATTTCATTTCTTATATTGCTGTGCAAATAATTTATGTGATAGAACTCCATTAAGTTCTATGTTGATACTGCTGATTAACTGGTGTTTGATAAATATGGATTTCGCATTTTACCATACATAATAGAATGAATGACTTACCGAGTATAAGGATTACGTCTTGAGTTATAACGCATTTTCAAGAATGGATAATAAATAAAAGGCAGAACAAAAATCCTAGGTCCAGAAATAGCCATAAATATGCATACTATCATCAGCATTATCTCGTTCAGTGCAATTATACGCAAAATATTCTGATCATTTGACTTTACTTTATTGACTAATTTTTGTAATGTCTGATGAAAATAGGATGAATTCTGTGAACGCGTTGAGACCTCTGGACCATCACCTGTAGCACCGTTATTTGTACAAACAGATACCTAGAAACATAAACATGGGAATAACAGGACTGCTGTCTCATGCATCTATTTTATATTACGAACAACGTCTGACTAAAAAAGTAACATTAATTTTATGTAGTAGAGTCATAGATGTTTGGTGACTATTTCGGTAGGTGACTCAAAACATGCTTACGAATGAGTTCACCTCCTACCGGTAGTCCGCGCAATTGATAGACCGATGACAACACAGAACCATAGGAACCCTGTGTCAAACTAGGCAGAACAAATAATGCGCGAGTGGACTAAACTAAACTCAATTACTAACGAAAGAATTTGCCCAAAAAAGAATCAGTTCAAGTTGTCACACTTTGTAGAATTACATATAAAGGTCAAGAAAAGCAATGCAACGAAATAACAACAGGCGAAAATCTACGCCAGAACGGAAAATTAGATGCTGACTATGGAGACGTTGAGAATTTGGAAAATCATTGAGAGTAAATACATCTGTCCATGTCACCATCAGTGTCATTATTTAGTGTTAAAACCCTGAGGACTCTAGTCAGTCGACTCTCCTGTAGGTGACACATTCTGAAACAATGATTTCATGCGCTTTTCCAACTTAATCCTAATTCATTACTCATGTAAGGAAGAAGTGACTGTGAATGAGTTAACTATGCCGTACTGACATCGATAGATGGAGGTTCACAACTAAATCGTTTGATTTGCCATCCTTTACCTAACACTACATTTAGTCTTATTGTTACTGGCTAACAAGACGTACGATTAGGAAAAACGATGGTCTTACTTTGTTCATATATCAGAACTATGTAGTTCTCAACGTTATATCACTGTACAAAAGAACACCAACAAAAACCCGAAATGCTTTAAATTCCTTATTAATAACAGTTATTCAAATCTTAGTCTTAAAACCATGTGATGTCAATTGATGGAACTTTAAGGTGTGGTGAAGTAAGTCGACTGAAATAGTTCATTCTCCGAAGTACCATAACATTTCTTAGGTCTGTCATTCTGGCACAACACAGCTTTGACTCAGTCCTTAGTATAAAACATGAATTTGGATACTGTGATATCATATTAGATTTGTTTACACTATATAGTAAGGTTTTCGGTAGAAGGCAGTATAATACTAATGAGTAAATTGTGACGGAAACGACATCCAACAAACAACAGTATATTAGTGTGTTTTGCTAAACGAACACATGTTATAGGGAAGTAAACTGTATCAATGAATATCATAAATTCATCAAAAACAAAAAATTAAACAGTACTGAATTTGGTTGGTGGATCTCATCATGAGCTGACATCAGTTAGAAAACCATTTGAAAACCTGGGATTACTGGACAGCTGTCCCGTCCTAGTTTGAGACTCTTCGGCTGTCCAGTACTCCCAGGTTTTCCAATGGTCCTCCAACTGATGTCAGCTCACGGTGAAGTCTTACAACTAATCAAACAAAATCCCTACAAAAACCAGCACTGAATTTAACTTACATTCAGAAGAGTATTAGTGAAACTTGCCACGTGCAACAGAGCGAAGAGGAAGACAGGCACTAAGGAAACTAGAAAAAGACATAATACAAACAGGCTATAATTAGATACTCAGTATGAAGTGACATTAATACAGACATAAATTGATGGATATAACCTACCATCAAAGACAACTACTTTTACGTTCAGTTGATACTACCGATCAAAATTTATCAGTTAGACTGAGGACATCAAAACTAGTACATATGACCTACTTTCATATTGCAATAGACGAGAATCTTTCGATTACTTCTGTTTTACGGTTGTCAATACCAGTTCCTAAGCTCGGTTATAAACTTCAACTACATACCCTCAAGGTTTCGACCTTTATACGTACAAGTTATAAAAAGTGAGAGATACCACCATGATGGATTCAAAACGGTCATCATTTTTTCAACACCGTGACTTGGCTTTATAGACCCTAATCGTGCAGGCCCCTAGGAATGTAATAGGGACAATAAAGAAATTGTACAAAGGGATCTCAGTGAGGACACTTCAAAAGAGCACGGAAAATATTGACGGTGTAGTTGAATATGGAATAAAAGACTTGAAGGATATTTTTTCTATGAATGGATACCCTTACACGTTTATCAACAAGTATTCTAAAGGAATGAGGCCCAATGAAATTGTCCTAACAGCTTCAGAAAGCACGAATATTAGTGTCATAAAAAGGATTCGATACAGAAGTAGTTTAACGAACGCCTGAAAAAGCACAAGTAAGCATGTTGCAAAGATTATACTACTCAAAACCCCTAATTGGGTGCTGAAGTAATGCGGAAAAGATCGAATACCAATCCTGAAAACTTTTAACTATGTAGATCAGTTTGAGAACTTGAAGACGCAAGTATTTACGAAGTACGAAGATGACTGTCTACTCGTATGATCCAACATCTAACCGAAAGGTTACAACACACCAAAAATAGCTGTGATACCCATAGGGATCATTTTACACACTACGGACATGATATTAATGCATACTTTCACCGCTGTCAGTAGGCAAATTGAGATACAATTGTAGAGGATTGTACGGTTAGGTTGTACAAATCAGGTCAAGGTTTTCAAAAGGAAGTGATGGTGGCTTTGAATCTATCACGGTAGCATCTCACCCTTTTCGCTGTTCGCACCGTTATTGTTGTTATCTTGCTTATACTGATTTTGTCGGTACCGTTATGAAAATAAATCCTTTTACATGTCTCGATTCGTTTCGCTATTAATACTACTCATAGTACAATTCTTAGTATTACCAGATCGTCCAAAAGGCAACTGTTAATTATTTCAGTGATATAATAGGAGTGTAGTTAAGGATTAGTAGTATTCTCAGAAAACAAATATATCAAAATCATCCACCCGAGGTACGAATCACCTCCATTATTTGGAGTGTAATTCATCGCATTTCAGATCCCTAGTGCCTTTCTATACCCATTTACGTATCTCCATCAGTGGAACACTTCCACCTTTTGGTTCTCTATGATTCGTTTAGTCTGATCTTTATGCTATTCACAATTTATACATCATATACAGAAGGAAAGAAAAGGAATCTTTTTTATCAGTATTTGTTACTTGTTTTAGATTCGAGTCGGTAAATAATTGACCACGCCATAACTATTGGCAAAAAGCATTTATAAAACAAAATAATCGGGCAAAGAATATTCTTTTCGATAAATTCCCATTCTGGCTCTCCAGTTATATATATATATATATGTTTATATACACCAAAATATTCAAGATATTACTTAAAGAACATCAATACTATTAACTACCAATCTTGAATATTTTGTGTATATAAACATATATATAACTGTATAGCCAGAAGAGAAATTTATCGAAAAGAATATTTTTTGCTCGATCATTTTGTGTTTTATAGATCTCCGAATGAATATTTTTGCTATATTGAAAGAGCATTTAAGTATACATACTAATAACATTCAATTTAGAAAATATACCTGTCACTGGTGGCAAAATAGCAAACATAATGGAATAGAGCAAATAGTGAGATGAATCTTCAGCGATCAAGACTTCTAGCACCTGTCGAGAAAATCCTGTATTTAGGCTTTTCAATCGCTGATGCAAACGCAAAGCTGATGTTGCTGCACTTGCTAGTAGCGCTCTTCTGTACCAAATTTCTAATTCAGATGGATGAAGACGGGAAAACAGTGGTGCAAAAAAGAACATAAAGCAGCAGAAGATTGTCCCCAGACGAGCAAAGTATAAAGCAGTATTGATATAATCTGACTTGAGACGACCCTATAAAAGAAAAAAATAATTGCAAACTCCCCAAATCAAACATAAACGTCACAGGTTATGATGGTGTTACTTATTAAGCATTTAAGGGCACTGTGTTTTCTATCATTAAGTTCTTAGTACCTTATAGGAAACATGATCAAGAGGAATTTCCGTAAATTTCAATAAACATAGAGTAACTTCAGAAACTGACCAAAGCCACATCACTTTTTAGTATTAATTCTACAACCACACATATCGATCCAAGGGAAAAATTACCACCAGAAAAAAGTTTAGATATACCCACTTGCGTTGAAATTATCGTGGACTTATCCTCTTTTCCGCTACAATGCTCTGTGACCACAACTAATTAGCTAATAAAACAGCATTCCGATGTTCTAAATTGCTTTGCGTAGTATAATTAAATAACACATCAACACCACTATGAATAATAGGTGTAGAATTCGGGCAATGGTGAAATACGACTTCGTACCAAATGAGTTTGTTCGATATAATTCAACATTGAGATAAATTAAACTAATAAACCCAAAAGTCTTTCTGATTGATATTACGACCAGTCGGGAAAAGTGTTTACATTTTCTCATAATTTTGGTGGAAATAACGCTATTCGCGCTCCGCTCTTTGACGTTTCAGGACAGTGATTCCACGCTTCTACTAAATGTTTACCTTTAGGAAGGATTCTTATGGAGTGAGTTATTGAAACACACCTGGTAGAGTATGAGCATCAAAACATGGACGAAATAAGATACCTCCAAAGATCTTGTTGCACAAAATGCATAATCCCAAGTGTATGTGTTAGAAGTTTAGGCACTCTGTCTGAGTTTATCCTAACCTGCACCATTCCTCGTAAAATCAATATCCTTAGGCTTCATTTAGGGCATCATAAATAATGCGAAGAAACAGACACAAAAAAAATAATACAACTTTATATGTGCGCTGGAATTCAACTGTTTTCATGTGAATCCCAAAAGCACAGAAACGTGATGAAACTAAAAGTGGTGAGTTAACAGCAAATGGATGTCGTCGCAATCGCAGACGACTTTGGGCTACACCATTAACAGCCTTCAACCACTGTGTCTCAACATTTTCGGAACACACAACAGCAAGTCTACAATTTAAGAGTAACCTTTCGCAAACCTATTCCGAATTTACCACCACTTACGCATAAAAGCAACGGGTGAGCCAGAGTGACAACCTCACTAATCGATATTTCCTACAATACACCTGACTTCATTACTACTGCTTGTATATTTCTGGGGAAAACGATTGAGAGGCTCATATGGTCACAAAACCGCTATTTTCAGCACTTTCACGTTTCCTCTTCATTTCACATAACAGGTTGAACTGACTCACAATGCACCGGACAACAGATGGGTGACCGCGTATCACGCAAAACAGTGCTTTGCGGTGAATAGCAGTTCAGTAATCCTCTGTTGTTTCAGTTTCGGCGCTAGCAAATTCATTCATTCTAACGCAAACTCCTTGGGAAAATAAACTTTTCATTACAACATGGACTACATTCTCAGATAAGGTTTGAATACAGAGCAGTCTTCCAGAATGTAGTTAAAATGAGTCCAAAAATCGTTCTTTTTCATCAAAAGAGCCAAAATGTTCATCTGATCAGATGGCAATGATCTGGGCTGTCATGACAGCCCAGATCACTGCCATTGGAACAATATGCGAAACTACTCATCCTTACCCAACATTATTTCATCTCTGCTTTAAAAATAGGCGACACAAAAGTTAAACTGTAATTAAAACTCACGAGGACAGTCTCCTGATGCCTGACATCACCAGAAGGTCCGCTGGAGCTCGACATTTTAAGATGACCGCGTGAATACCACCGTGACTAACTATTCATAATGCGTATTATTCGTGATTGATATCCATGTAAACAATGATGTATACTGGGACCGATTTTTACAGCATATTAGGGATATACATTTAGCATAATTCGTTTTTGTCACATGTATATTTTGAACTTGTTTTTTGTAGGTTAAGTACAAAATTTTCACTTAGAACCTGATCGTTTTCTTCAAGGTCGTCATATGTTGGTGTCTATTCTTTACTGTTGCCGATAAAAGTTAACTTAAGCTAGTATGCTTCAGGGCGAAGAAGCCAGCATTATAATTTTTGCCTCATTTCATTACTACATCAAAAGTATTTGATGGACGTCGAATAAGAAGTTACTATTAGTGATAGGCTACATAGTGGTAAACTATATATGATGCGAATAGAGTATATTTAGTATTATATGTATACGTATACATATATGCATGGGTAAATACACTTTCAGCTGCCATCAAGTCCTCTAAGTTCCCTAATGAACTGAATCGAGGGACATGTGTGGAAGGACTTGGCTGGAGTCATTTTCTGAAGAAAAGGAGTTTTCAGCAGGTTGCGAACTATGTATGGAGATCAAAAACCAGTTTTCAACTAAGTTCTGAGTTCCAGGGAGCTTATTCAAGGAGAGCAGAATGTTATGTCACTGTGATTTCTAACTATTAGTGCAAAAGTTAGGAAACACGTGCTCCAGAGATTTATAACGAAAATGCCGACAACCGATTGTTTATGCAACAGATCTAGGTAGTGCTAACTTATACGCATACACAAGTAAGCATTCTATCCCGGCCTTATAATGTAAAACTAGAAAACAACACGTCAATATTTGAATAAATGATGGAATGCTGCAATTCAGAGAGCCAATGGTAACCATGGTGTTCTGGGCAGTTGTTTTGTCTGAATTTCGGACTCTTCATCAGTGCCAAATCCCTTGGTTTTCAGTTTCCTGGAATTCCAGTTTAAATCCAAGATTTGATATGCAAGTAGATACATGCTAATGACATTGGCCGGTAGTACCGCGACATACTGACAGTTAGAAACTAGCATTCATGAAACCCTGGACCCCATCTCAGTTGTTGAATGCTCTTTGATCTCACCTAGTTATCTCAAGATCCTGGGTTCGATCCTCGGTGGAGTAATGACTGCTCACTGATAAGGAATCCAAAACTGGGGCGAATATACAATCCGGTGCCATCTTCTATTCAAAGGTCTTGTAGCCAATATCAGTCCGCGTTCCAACAAGTAACAGCCCGAATCACCTCAAAAGAACACAATTTAAGTTTCTAATAAATCCAGCTTGAAAGCAAACGCCTGAATCTATATTTTAGTCTCCACTTCATTTATAACCCACCATTCATTCTTTCCTACGTATAGTCACCTTTATTAGGTTTCGCAGTCTTGCAACATTACAGACCGCTGGTCAACGCTGAAAGTAAAAACTTACTGGACTCAATGAAGCTCACGTTACTGTCTCAACCGTCAGACGTGCACCCTGAATACAGTTTGCGGAATAATTACAGCAGTTTCCGTGGTCTTCCCTTAAACACCCAAACACAAGAATCGCAGTATTTAAACTATTTATTTTTGATTGCAGCTTGATTCCACACCATATTTTTGGGACAAGTGCGGAATTTTCAGCGTGGATATCGGTAGCCCGAAATTCGCAGGCCGACCACAGATATCAGGTGTGCGTCCGCGCTGGCTCGAACCCCGGACCATGTGCATGGTCGGCGAGAGTCTTAACCACTGTGTCACCAACGCCTACAACCCTTCTCAGGTTGACGCCTTAGGTTGGAAAATCGTCAAGTGGTTCATCCTCTGACTCTCGACTCTCAGCACCTTCCAGCAGACACAGTTTACTAATGCCTAGCAACACCATGCCACAACTTGTTCTCACCTCGACCGTCCCCACCAACTCACCACTACTATGGAGTACCCCTTCTATCACTGCTAAAAGCCATCTACCCGTGGCTCATTTATCTACTACTTAGACTATATCACCGACCTTTAAGTTTCTCTACAACTTTTTTAACTTGTCTCTGGTTTGTGGTGTTAGAACATACCCTTTTAACCACCTTTTCCCAAATATATCCTTCATGTACCTGGTTTGTTTCCACCTTTTAATCGCAGGTATTCGTTCCGCACTCAAGTCCCCTATGCAAGGGTTACCTCTCAATGACAACAATTTATTTGGAGTCAGGACATCAAAATCCTTGACGTCGTCCCTCACAGGTAATAGCGGCCGGTCACTTAGTATTCGTCAGCTTCACATAAAAATGTCTCTAACGTTTCGTCATTCAAACTTTGGTTTTTAATCATGACAACTTCAACTCCAGCGACTGCAGTTTTACTACATTGCTGGGCCATGAAAATGTTCATAACTTCCCAAATCGACAAGATACTTCACTTGATTTAGTATTTATAAATGATTATGGAATATAAGAAGCTCGTAAAAGAGTTCCGCTCTTCAATCCTGATCACTGTATTGTACAAGTCTTACCCAAAATTTACAGAAAATTAGACAGTAAAGCCTTCTCAAACTTGTCTAAGAAAGTTGTTCACAGATGCTACTCAAATGAGAACGTACATCATCTTAGAGACATGCTCAGTGACACAAGACGGGATCTGTTAAATGATGATTCACTTGATGACACTATCTCTAATATTACATCTAATCTGAAATTCTGTTTTGAAATCTGCTCTCCAAAAGAAACACTATTCGTCAGATTTGGCCGTTTCCCCTCTCCTCAACTTAAAATGTTTCATAGAGAGGAGGAAAAACTATATAAGATGAAAGATAAAAGTGGTGTAAAAGGAACTAAATTCTTAATTAAATATCAAATGCATCGGTTGAATGTGATGCATAACCATAAATTCATATCTTGCAAAAGTGCTTCCAATATGTGGAAACTATTTAAGGAAATCACTGGTGGTAAACAGATAAACAATAATCCGTATTCTCCTGATGTACGTTGTCAATGTAGTTGAAGATTGAACGATCAATTCACGGTTGTTTCCTCAAAACCAACTTCCCCAATGTTCGCGGAGGCATCAATACGACAGTCATCGTCTCATCGGTCGCTGTTCAGAAAGAAGTCAGCCATTAACCGTCAGAAATCTTAGTGGAATTATTTTTACATGTTGGTGTTACAATAAAGAATTCTCGAGCGGCCAATCGGTGTTTTGGATTTTGCGTCCGTTATAACTAAGCATTTCTGAAATCTTCAAGGAACAGCGTGAGCACGAGCGTAGCGAGAGCTGGGCATTAACAGTTTACGAGACGTGGCTGACAGTTTCTGACGGTAGAAACAGATTCTGGCGGATTCAAACAGTTGGTGAAAGTTTGGATAGTCGCCGTTCATTTTTCCTGGTGCCGGTCAAGTCCTCTTTGAACAAGCAATATCTGGAACATTTTTGGAATTGGGTCAAGTTCAACAATGCCTGGGTCAAAGAAAGGACAGAGTGTCTTGGATGCAAACGGGAAAGTAAGTCATGGTGACTTGTCTGTTAATTGTAACGATGTGTCTGATGTTAAGCATGACATGGTTGATGTTACTGTTTCGCCGTTCAGGGATAATAGGAACATCAAACTCCCTAAATTTGAACCACGGTGTTTCGATGGAAATCCAGGTGATTATTTACAATTTGTAAAGGAGTTTGAGATCATGTTGAGTTGTGTTTTATTAAATGATGAATTGAAGTTAATGTATTTGATGAGATATTGCACTGGAGATGCTGCAAGAGCTATACAGTGTTGTAAGTTTATGAAGCCAAAAGAGGGCTACTACGAGGCTATGAGCATATTACGTCAAAGGTTTGGAAGACCTTCAATGATTGTAAGGAACGTATACGAAGCTGTCAAAGGTAACGGAAGTCAACTTCAAGATGACTCCAAGGCACTTACTGAGTTTTTAGATAATCTTATGACTTATAAGAATACCTTGATTTCTATGAATTGCATGAGTGACCTCAACTCGAGTTTTATACTAGAAGTAATAGCAAGACGCCTACCTACTCGACTGCAAAGGAAGTGGGTGAAGATAAGCTCCCGTATGGAGGATGAGGGTATCGAGCCAAAGTTTGATGATATCCTGAAACTGGTAAATACTAGTGTCAATCAATCTACGAGCAAGTTCGCCAAACTATTACATCTCACCCCTAGAATAGAGCAGTCTGAGGGTAAAATGCGATCATTGATGACGAATAGGCCTCAGAGAGGTGGATATCGAGAAGGCTCCATGATGTCTAGTAATGCATATAGACCTAGTGAGTGTAACAGGTTTCGTAGTACATCCTCAACAGATAAGTTACAAGATGCAAGACAAACACGGTTGTGTTTTACACGTTTGCAAGAGGTGCATACAGAAGTGAACTGTGAACCAGTGAGCAAGTTCAGTGATAAGCTAAATGTAAACTCCAACCCTGACTCCGAATTGTGTGACGATAACGGTGCGGTGAAGAAGTCTGTAGTTGCAACTGGTAAGCCATTGTTGAATAGAGTGTCACAGAATAGAGTTACTGCTTCAGAGTGCAGTTCTGACCCTACAAGTTTACAAGGTATAACTAGTCAGAGTGAAGTTATAAAACCTTTTAGGATTTGCGAGGAGGAACCAAAATTGTCTACTTCTGTTATTAAAGAGTTTGAAAATGATGAAGTTGACGGTAAAGTGAATATTCGTGATAATGATCATGATACTTCACAGTTGTCTTTTGTTGATCATGATGAAATGGAGGGAATGCCTACTACCGCTAAGTTAAATAAAGGTTCTGTACAACTTGAACGTGAATTAGAATTA